TAGGTCCAGAAAGGGACTTTTACAGATGGAGAGTGTAGACCACCTCAGCCCCACCATGGCTGGGGCTGAGAAAATTTATGATTATGGCACCTTTAGTTGGTCGGAAATGGCACTCTCGGACTGAATTTGAATATAATTTTAACTTTTCTCCACTTTTAAATTTCGAAAGAAAAAAAAAATAGGGATGGTGCGCCGACTGGGCCCCTTGAATGTGCCACTGAAATACTCATCATAAAAAGTTTTTTAAATTATCCTTTTAGTAATAATTATGACCGCTTATATATTTTGTATAAACTAACATTCATAAAAATCATGATATATTATCTACTGATTAGCTTGTAACGTATTCAATTCGAACCATGAAAAACAAATAAGATAAACTTAAAACAGTAATTAATTTAGTCTGTTTGCATGTACAGTACTTTTAAAATCAATCAAGGTTTTTGTTTTTCTCCTCTTTTTGAATTTTACTTTTGTGTATGCAATATTGCGACTACACTATTGTGAGTGGAAATAATATCGTCTAATTTACGATCAAACAGGACTAGGGAGATAGGGAGCACACAAAACATTAGTTACCATATTGATTTCACAAACATAAAGGTGATTTACTTAAATTTATCATTATCAGTGGCGGCTCCAGGAAAGCAAATTAGAGGGGGGACAGGGATGGACTTGCACAATTTGGGAAAGTAAATCACTTCAGGCCCACCATGGTTGGGGCTGAGAAAAGAAAATTTATGATTATGACACCTCTAGATTGCCGGAAATGGCACTCTCAAATTCTAATTCTAATTTTCTTTTGTTTTTTCCATTTTTCAAAAATCATTAAAAAAAAATTAGGGTCGGCTCGGCCCCACTTGAATCCACCACTGATTATTATGACGTCATTGCGAGATTGCGTCAAGGTAACACTTAATCGAAATAGATAGACATATCAGTGTCAAAGGCTGTATAATTATTGTTTAATAATGGCTATATAAAATTCAATTGACTAACTATAATTATTTGAAATTAGGAAAAACAGTAATCGTTTGTAACTAATATTAAACACTAGTATATACGTAGGGGTCATAATAGTATACAAAAGGAATAAATTGTTTATAGTAAAAATTGTGCACTTTTGAGTTTGTAAAAATATTGGCCTAATAAGGATACACGCTTTCGATTTTAACAACGTTCAGTACATTGTTTTCACAATAAATTTAGCCTCTGATAACCGTTGCACGCATAAAATCGATCTAGTGGTTTCTGAGATGGTTACGAAATGTATAAACAATTGCGTTTTTACTCGGTTTTGGTCCGGAAAATACGTATCGCACTTAGAAAAGTGAACAGACAAAATTCATGAGTCATGCTTAATTGTTAATTCTTTCCATTCGCTTTTAAAATATGGGGTTTTAATTATAGAAGATTGGTGAAAAGTGTGTGGGGAGGAGACAATCGATATGATGTCCCCCTACTTTGAAAAGTGGGGAGGCGATCGACGCCCATGTGTTAGTCAAATTTCCATTTTGTATTTTTGTTTTCTTAAGTTTTTAGATATCTAAATCCTCAAGCAATAAGCAGATCTACTGATCATTTAACCCGTCAATATTATTAGGGTCAAAGGTTAAAATCGACCAATTATACTTGATGAAGCCAGCATGTTATTTGCTGCCCTCAAACTACTGTAAAAGTTACAAATCTAGTGTAAATTTCACCAATAGAATTTGATATTCTGTTGCAAAGGTAGGAATTTTAATTTTAGAGATTATGTTAATTATATATTTAGTATTGTTAGTTGATCATATGCTACGGTGTTTCAGTATTCTTTAATGATTAATGAAGATATTTATAAGAAAATGACCAAGCTGAAAATCTTCAATCCAACATTATCTCGGTTACCTGGAAGATTACAAAAGCTGACGAACAGAAGCTCAATATATTTCAAAGAAGATGCCTAAGAAAAATAATGAATATACGCTGGCCAATGAAAATAACCGTGAAGAGCCGTATCAAATTACCTATACAAATGAACTAAGTCAAGAAATACACAAGAGTAGATGGCGATGGATTGGACACCTCCTTCGAAAAGAAAATGGTAACTATGCCAGACATGCTATCATGTGGACCCCAGAAGGCAGGAGAATAAGAGGAAGGCCAAGAACCACCTGGAGAAGAACTGAATTGTATACTTACAGAGGCGGCAAATATATTACAGACTGCCATATGATCGAAAAGTGCCGCCGATTTACCTTGGCCTCCTACTGCTGATTCATTAGGAGTAAAAAGCCGCAAACCCCCTAAATGCTTTCTTTATTAAGTTGATCCACAGTCCTCGCATCATACAACAAACAATAGATCTTTTCACAGGCTTTGATTTTTTGATGTTCTAATGGAAGGTTTCTGACAAAGAAACATACATTATTTGGAATGGGGCTACACAACATGACCGGGCGCGATTTTTTTTCCGTACGAAACATTTGCATGAAACTTCACTCGGGCCATCTCGGAGTGACTCGACTGAGTTCGATACGAGGAACAAGAGCAGACAATTCGCAATGTCGGCACGCTCGAGTTTTACTATTATTGCTCTTTCTATGTTTACCTACGGTAGGCCTATGATGATATCTTAACGGATTTATGGGATGTACTTGTGTAACTAACTGTGACTTTCTTGATGTTATTAAATGTTAGTACTGTATAATATTGTGGCGGATTCGGCCAAGCAGTCTCAGTCTAGTCTAAGTCCTGCGTAAGTAAGTCTGTCGGACACGCCGTCAGGTAATACGGATCGACTATTGAATAAACTTCAAACAAAATTAACGGAGTTTCTCATAGCATTTATTGGGTCAATAAAACTGGTACCATTATCAACAACAAATACAATGTCATATATGCGGAGCACACAGCAGCCGCCGACCGGTTCCCGTTAACACCGGAATTAAACTATAAGTATATAGGCCTGTCCCTTACTGGGCTCTCAAGTCTTAATGACTGAGTTCGACTATAAACTATTTTATAGAATTACCACAGGTCCTACCTTAAGCCTGGTTTCCTGTCGACGTAAAAGTCAAGGTAAGAATGGCCCAGGAAAAAAATGACCCCCGGAAAAAATGGCCCCAGTAAAAATGGCCCCAAATGACAAGTAAGTAAAAATGGCCCCAGTGAAAAAATTCAGTAATAGAAATGATATTTTGTTTTTAATCTTCAAATATTTAAATACTGTAATAAGCAAAAATTGAATCAATAACAAATACAGTTACATTAAATTCAGCGCAACATTGTAAAACTTTAAAATAATAGGGAGGAATATTTTTTTCAAAATAAAGTTGTTTTTCAGGTTAATATTAGACATACTAAAAATTAATCTTTCATTTCCAGATTTATTTATATAATATAAAGGTAATACTTTCCATCTTACATGTTTTCTACATATCAATGTTTTCACCCATGAAATCTTGAGAGCCTTGACTTGTAGAGCAAAATCTGGCATATTTATACCTCCTTCGGTTAGATTACCGATTAATGTTTTTCTTTTTATTTTTTCTCTTTTTCCGCTCCATAAAAATTCGTGTATCAGTTTATTTACCCGTAAAATAACATCAGTTGGTACATCGATAATAGACGCATTGTAAATCAATTTAGACAAAGCAAGACTTTTCAAAACTGTTACTTTTCCAAAATATGTCAGGTTCCTACCCTTCCATGTATTGAGCAGTTTTTCTAAACTTAACAATTTATTATCCCAATTTAATTTGCTACATCCTTTTATGTTGTATCCCACGTAAATTCCTAAAACCTTAATCGGTTCTTTAACCCAATTTAAGTTACATGGTTTTTCAGGTTTGTTTATACTCGTTCAAATCCACATGGTATTTGTTTTGTTTTTGTTAAGGCTCATACCTGATACTTTGCAAAAGTTGTTTACAATATTAATACCTATCTCAATACTATCTACATTCCCAAAAAAAAGCACCGTGTCATCTGCTAATTGAGCAATACGCACTTAATTTTGTTCCAGACCCGGTAAAGATATTCCTTTATATCGCACATCATTTCTTATATTACAAGCCATGATCTCCACAACTAAAATAAACAATAACGCCGACAGAGGACAGCCCTGTCTAATACCACAATACATTTGAAAAATTTCGGATACCCATCCGTTATTTACAATTAC